ATCTATCTATCTATCTATCTATCATCTATCTATCCATTCGTCCGTCCGTCTGTCTATGTCTGTATGTCCATCTGTCCGTCCGTCCGTCCGTCCGTCCATCCATCCATCTATCCATCTATACAATACAATACAATTTTATTTATATAGCACAGTTTAAAAACAACCGGAGTTGACCAAAGTGCTTTACAACACTATACCAACAATAGGTAAATTAAAACAGTTGTAAAACAAAATTATACATTAACTATACACAGAATATACACAAGCTGTAAAAATGTGTGGCGTTCCTGAGAACAAAGTCAAAGACAGTTTGTCATGGGATATCGAACGCCAATGAGAATAAATAGGTCTTTAGAGTGGATTTAAAATCAGACAAGGTAGGGGCAGTTCTGATGTGAGAGGGGAGACTATTACAAAGTTTTGGGCCGACAACAGAAAAGGCACAGTCACCTCTCGTCTTTAGCCTTGTCCTAGGAACATGCAGCAAGTCAGAATTAGTATATCTGAGCAATCTCGACAAAGTATGAGGCTGTAACAACTCGGTTAAGTACAGTGGGGCCAGATTGTGAAGAGATTTAAAAACAAACAGTAGAATTTTAAAATCAATTCTGTACTTTACTGGAGGCCAATGAAGTGAGATTAAAACCTGTGTAATAGTCTCATATTTGTACTTTCCAGTAAGAAGCCGAGCTGCTGCGTTCTGGACTAACTGCAGACGAGAAACACAGGACTGAGGAACACCAACATACAGAGAATTACAGTAGTCAAGCCTGGATGTAACAAATGCGTGTATTGCTATTTCAAGCTTCTTTAATGATAAAAACGACTTCCCTTTGGAGAGAAGGCGGATATAATAAAAAAAACAGGCCTTAACAACGGTACTTATCTGCTTGTCAAATTTGAGATTATTGTCAAACCAAACACCCAAGTTTCTGACACAGGTGGTACTGTATGGTGACAGAGATGTAGTTTTGAAGTCGTGTAAACTATGATCATTGGGACCAAACATAATGAATTCAGTTTTACTCTCATTGAGGCACAAAAAATTTGTTGCAAGCCAAAGTTTCAGTTCCTTCAGGCAATCCAAAATGGGCTTAATGGCATGCTTATTGCCATGCTTTAAGGGGATGTAAATTTGGGTGTCATCTGCATATAGATGGAAAGAGACCCCATGCTTGTTAAAAATAAACCCTAAAGGAAGCATATAAAGTGAGAACAATACCAGACCAACAATCAATCCTTGTGGTACACCAGATCTTAAAAGCATCTCAGGGAGGAATGATGCCCAATGTTGTCAACATATCTCCTATTAGTAAGATATGACCTAAACCACTGTAATACTGTGCCCCATAAATCAACACATGCCTCAAGACAAGATATAAGAATATCATGGTTGACCAGATCAAAGGCAGATCTAAGGTCTAACAAAACCAGAGCCATAGACTGGCCAGAATCCGTAATCAACATGACATAATTTAGAACTCTTAAGAGGGCTGACTCCGTGCTGTGGCAAGATTTAAAACCAGACTGAAATCTATCAATCTATCTATCTATCTATCTGTCTGTCTGTCTGTCTGTCTGTCTGTCCTCCTGTACCTTAGCAAACACCTGCAACCACTCAGAATAGCATAGCAACAGCATAGCACCAATTCAATATACCTTAAAATATCTCAGCAAACACCTAACAACGCCCTGGCAACCACCAAAAAAACTTTAGCATACACATAAAAACCACCCAGAACACCCTAGCACTATGATATTGTGATGCAACCACTATTTACATTTTCTTCTGAAAATTAAAAAACAACTAGTCTAAGACTCTCTTCTTTAAAACTAGTTCAAGTTCTTTTTTCCTCCCATATTTATCTAAGAAATCCATACTGTCTACTGTTGATTCTTTGAACCAGTATGGAAATAAAGGAACAAGCCAGCCCAACAAAGAATAAAGTTATTTGTGGTGCTGCCGTGTGATGCAGTCTGTATGAATGAGAGAGAGAAAGAGATCAGTGGAACAAAGAAATAATGCATATAGGCAAAATTTACACAGAGGCTCTGTTTCCATGGCAATGGCAGACATAACCTTACCCCTTCACACACATGCACTCTCTCACATAGATACTGATAAATACCAGGTATTGCATGCTGCTTCATGTGTGTATCATAAAGCTCACCTCGGGGAAGGATCTCTTCATTCTTTTACTTTAATCTCATTGATGCCCCAAGAGAGAATATTTTTTGGGTGTGCAACATGATGTTTCATGGCATAAACGATGCCACTTGTTTATATGAAACAGTGGCTTCTCAAGATATATAACACTTTGCAATTTACAATTTTATTGTTCCTGTGGTCTCCTTGGTTTTTATTAAGTTGGCTAAATTGATTAAGCTGACCCCCAATGCTCTACAACAGTGGTTCCCAACCCTGGTCCTGGAGGCACCCCAACACTGCATGTTTTGCATGTCTCCTTAATCAAACACACCTGATTCAGATCATCAGCTCATTAGTAGAGACTCCAAGACCAGAAATTGGTGCGTCAGAGAAAGGAGACATGCAAAATGTGCAGTGTTTGGGTGCCTCCAGGACCAGGGTTGGGAACCACTACTCTACAATATGCAGAAACATGAGGTTGGATGTTTAATAAAGCCTTCCACACTCTTGTCCATCTGCAACGCTGTCTCTGTTTTGAAACAAATGTGGACTTTCCATCATTTACCATCTGCCACAATGTGAAAGAAAGAAAGAAAAAAAGATGAATCCTCAATAACTATTTATCTTTGTACATAAAAAACAGTTTAATGTATTGATGATGCAGCGATCCAAAGTAATGCATATTATATTCACACATCTAATATAACAAAACAAGCACTGCTGCTGACATTCTTAGTTTGTTTCTATATAATTAATAATAATAGGTTTTGAGATGGTGCTAACATGCACACAGGCTGTGACCAATCAAATTCTGCTTGCTTCAGTGATATTGGGATACTTGACCTTCCCAACTACTCCTTTCCCAGGAAGACTTCTCAATCCAATCCAATTAGTCTAATAGTGTATCACCACTACACCAGCTCTGAGTACTATAAACACAGCGGGAGGCCTCCACACATACTCTCACACACATATAGCCAATCATTCACATGCGTAATTAATTCTGTTTAAGTGTAATTCACGTTTTAAAAGACAACGTTTTCCATGCTTCTCTGCCATGACTCTTTTCTGCTGCTTCTGATTTATACATTTTCAGAGAGTGATTGATTTTTTTGTAAGTTCTGGAGGGTTTAAGAAAAAAATTATAACAGTGATTATTTAACGAATACAATGGCAAATGTATCATATTTGAATATGTCTCCTATAAGGAAATATTGAACTCGAAAGACAATTTTGTTTTACAGTTGTGGCGCATGCTGCTGTATAGTTATTTTACAGCACCCTCGTGTGGACTGTATTGTACAGTACAGTATACAGAAAACAAATGACAGAAATCAAATAACTCAAATCAGAGATGCATATGAATTATAACTGTAATATATGAAATACATATTGGTCTGTATTTTTAATTGAAGGATGTCATAGTAGCAATAACCTATGAATTCATATGGAATGATTCTGCTCAACTGGCCTACAGGTTATGATGAATTATTAAGATATTAATAAAACCAGCGGCTGTGGTTGCCAGTAGTAGTATAGATTAGTGAATCAGGCCATTTTGTAATGATTATGTCAGCATCAGTACATAACATCTGGATCATGAATCTTGGCTTTATTTATTTATTTTGCCATAACAATCATGCTTCATAAACACACATTTACAGCAGCCAGAGAAAAACGCATGTTAAAAATTCAAGAGCCCAACTAATGCAAACGTTAACTGCCAAAATGTTAACTATAAACAAAATATTATTTTCATTAAAACCTCAACATCTAAAGTTCTGTTAATTTTAAATTAGAACTTTTGTATGACAAAAAAAGTAATTCTGGTTAGAAATAAGTGAAGCTGGTAATGTGGTTTATGGATTTGTTAAAACGTCCTCTGCTAAAATCTTGAGAGATTTAATGCCTTTCTTTTATTTAATTTGATTTCATGTAAGGCAGTGGAAGTCAGTTGTAGTTGATGTGTTTCTCTTTCCTTCAGTGAATCTGCTTTTTAACAGCAGGTGTTCAGTGTCTGAATTCACTCATTTATTTTCATTCACTCTGTCAAGCAGACTATATTAGTGAACTAATGTACAGAATAGTCAATGAGGGTATAGGGTGTGATTTGGGACACCATCTTTGAGTGTCGACTCTGGGCGCCGATAATTCACATTATACTGCAGTAAGTTACTTTCTCAAAAACAACAAATATTACCTAGAATGTTTGTTTACAACAGTATATTACTGTTTTAATGGAAAACACTATGTTACTGTCAGAATTTGGCAGTTTTTAACATACATTTTTAATGCACACTGTACTGATAAATAACTCCATGAATATAAGCTACTAAATCAGGTAATAAGGACAAGAACAAATTCAAATGTATATATATATATATATATATATATATATATATATATATATATATATATATATATATATATAT